ATTCAGATTCTAACAAACATATATTTTCCCCTCATGTTCGGCTTATATGCTCTAAACCATCATCACACTTCTTTCCCTGTTAAAAGATTGTCCATTCCCAAGCAATAGTTCCACTGACACAGTATTCCTTGTACTGCAGTTACCATAGGTTATGTCAGCCACAATACTGTTTACAATGATCTAATGAAGGTAACATTGAAGTGGATGGTTTGCTGGCTCTTCGGACTGGATTGGTGGATGAAAGAGGAACAAGAGGGATAGCTCATGTGGGAAGTTAAGGGTCGTCCTCTGAGTGATCAACCTTTTAAATCCCACCCTAGCCATGCCAATAATCTTTTGGATGCTTTCCACCAGGTACTGGGTGATATCACAGCTGTCCATAAAACTGTGGTGACATTTACTTTCCTGTTGACCCTTTCTCTCTGCTGCACCACTGACTGCCATTATCGGCACACTCTGTCTTCCAGCACAAGGTCAATTGAGCTTCTCCTCCAGAATATATTTCAAGTGGTAGCAGGCTTATCTGTCAGTGTGTGTGTATTGACTTATGAATGAATGTATGGTTAGTGGTGTGTCAAGGCTGCAGGCATGTTAACGTGTTTTAGATATGATATGAGCTCTGTATGATAAATGTTTGAAATCCATTACTGGTGAAGCAACATGTGAAAGTCAAAGAAGCGTGTGGACAGGCATGCAAGCTACATCTGGGCTCTTAAGCATGACTGCAGGTTTGCTGGTAAGTCACGACACAACTCGATGTGCATGTGTCATCTGACAGACGGCACAAAAGCAATACCCATGTGTGCATATTGCAATGTGTACATGTAGCTGGATGGAAAATGTGCTGAAAGGAAATGGTGAACAGTAATTTATGGGTAAATAAAGAAAAGCGTGTAAGGGCATGGCAATAATCCTCTCTTTGGGCTAACCTCAGTTCATTTCTCCCTTTTCTCTTATTAAACATCTAATTTCAATCTTTAATTGTGATGTTTTTGTGCCTTTCTGCTCCAGAACAGAACCAACCTCGAAGAGATGTGTCTACTTGCTGTACTCATCAGGGCCAAAGATGGAGCTAAAAAAGATGGTTTGAATGTCAAGTGAGGCTGCCAGTGACTGTAGTCCTGTCGAAAAAGGCAGGACCATAGAGAGAGAATAAAAGACTTGCAATCAGACATAACAGAGAGACGTGTTCAGGGAGGGTGCAAGGAGAACCGAGGTTGAGAAGTACTGCATGGAAACAAGAGGACTGTTTAACGTCCATTTATCTCTACCCCTATCCCTCTATTCATCCCTTCATTGTGCTATAGGTGGGTCACTACACTACAGTGTTCCTCTGTCTGTATGGGGGGGGTGGCAACACATTGCCAGCTTTCATAGCAGCCTCGGACAAGTACTCCTGGTTTTCTGCCACAGCAGGGCGAATACGTCCATTCTGCCGGTAGAAGAAGCGTGTGCTGCAGTCCTGCAGGTACTCAGGATTGTGCAGTGAGGACTTCGGGGGTAGACTGTGCTGCCAGTATTCAGGATTGTCAAAAGTGGCCTTCTTGCCTTTCTTATCAAACATGATGGTGCTGCTGGTGATGCCTGAGTGCAGAGTGTGTCCTGAATGCCCCGGATGCAGGGTGTGTGATGGATACGATGGGTGAGGGAGGTGGCCAGGGGGTACTACATATCCAGAGGAGGAGACCGTGTGGCTTGATGTTGATGGGTTGACTGTCTGCGATACTGATTGGGCAGCAGAGGACCCAGGGCCAGAGATGGAGACTGCGCCAGCCAATCCGTTCTTGTCCCCAGGGTTAAGGAAAGTATTCAGGTACAGTGGCTCATTGATATACTCATCGTCCCCGTGAAGGGTCTGGCTCTTGGGAGCAGCAGCAGCTCCAGCCATGTGCAGGGTGTGGCAGCCCGCTCCATCAATCACTGCGTGGGCGTCACCGTTCCTACGACGTGTGACAAAGGGGTTTTCCTCTACTGGGTTGAGATAGTCTGGGGAAAAAAATGGGGTGGTAAGATTCGCTAGGATCTTTTCATCTCTACTGAAACAGCTATTGTAGACACTAAAAAGTGATTTACAGTAACACTAAAATAATGCTTAGAAAGTTATTTCTGTATTTCTGTGGCCTTTGGGTTAACATATCATATATCGAGTGCAGTATGTAAATATACACAAGTAGTAGTTCTCAAAACTGTTAAAGCAACCTGAGTTGTTCTTGTCCCTCATGGCAGCCATGTAGCCATCCTGGTCCTTGTCTCCTTTGGCTCCTCGTTCTCCTAAAAGACCAGTCGGATCAGCACTGTAACGCTGTCCACTACTATCCTCCCCTCCACCTTGGGAAGCAAAAAGACAGGAAGGAAGCAAGAAATACATTTAAAACATGGTACTTTACAAACCTTATATCCAGGATGGAGATCCTGGATACTTTGTAAATAAACACTGCAATCTATTATTGTGTACTGTTATCTATTTTCTCCTGTGAGTTAACTCATGGACAGGGCTGTGACTAATTATTAATAAATGTCAGGCACTTTGTATTTTTATGGGGATTTGAATGCACAGTAGGTAGATATACATTTATTTATAAAGCTTGCTTAAGGCTTGATTTGTCCCTTTTCTGCTGAAAACTAATCTGCGAAGGAGGCATAAATGGGCCGAACAGAACTAGAAGACGCCACTGCTGATGCTTCTCTCCTGTTGCCTGACAGGTGCAATATGTGACTTAGTTTTGATCAAGATCCTGTCTGCCTGCCATAGTGGTTTCTATCTTATGGTTATGGATTTTTAAAAGCTAATACAACATTTTTATTTCGTTAGTGCTGGAAAGAGTTAGGCATACGCCAAAGCCATTACGCACTTTGTACAATTTACTGAAATTATGTAATATAACTAATAATAACTGATCAAATCAATCAGTAGCCAAGCAAAAATTAAAAAACTAAATAAAAAACATTTAAAATGTATTGTATATTTCTGTTTCTGTTTCAACCCTTTTGAGTGATGACATCTGTAAAACAACACAGTATTACCATGAGCTGAAACCTCTGTATTTTAGTGTCATATTTTCATTTCTTTTTTAAAGACATAGTAGTTGACTAAATTGATTTCAAGAGTAGATCAATTTGATTAAAATTAAAATAATTCTGCCACAGGAAATGCTATACAAAAAATAAATTGTAATAACCCTGGTTAAGTAAGTAAGTAAGTAAGTGAGTTAATTTTAATTTATAAAGCACATTTAAAACACAGGTATAAAACTGACCAAAGTGCTGTACAGGTGCGGATGACTAAAAAAGGCAAATTAAGTTAAGAGAGTACTTTGCTCATGCAAAGAGGAATATAATTGGGAAATGTACTGCCAACAGCTTAATCAAACTATTAATTTACTCTTTTCACAACATTATGCAAATATAAACACAGTTGATAACAGAGATCAGATTAATGCTGTAAGAAGTAATTTTAACATACAAACTTTAGTCAAATGTTGCTCAATGATTTAAACTCCAAGTTGCAACAGTTAACTGAACTAACGCTCTTATAGACTGTTCTTTTATAGACATTTTTATTTTCCTCACACTTAGTGAGGAGATTACCTTTCCCCTCAGTTTCTAAAATTTTTGGATAACACTTTTCTTTACCTAGTCCTGCAGTGAGAGCGGAGCCAGGCCCAAGGGTACTTGACCTTGGGGAGGCCTGCCTCCTCAGGGTGCCATTGCAGCGAGGGTCGTCCTGGTTGCCACGACCAAATCCGCCACCAATCTGCCCCCCTGAGGCCAGGTCCTGTGGAGGGAGGCAGCCTCCAGACACTGGTGGAACAGAGACCACTCTTGGGAGGGTGGCCAGCATGTCCTCCATGCTGAAACTGGCATCCTGGTAGCCAAACTGGTTCTGGGTAGAAGGAGAGGAAAGAAGGGGGGCGGTGTTAGACACAATTACAAGAATATCAATTTACCAAGCCAAAGAAAACCACCTGAAACAAATACAGGTGGTTTTCCATACAGGGAGTTTTGGCATCTATGGATGATTAAAGTTTAACTTATTCTCCAAGTATGTTGTCTAGTCATGAAAAACATTGAAAACAGCTGATATGATTTACAAATAAAGTACAAAACAGTAAAAACACATAAATAAAACAATGAAATAAGGACTTAATAAGTACCATACATTTTTTCTTAGTTATAAAATGTACTGTAAAAAATGGGCAATTCAAGTTCTTTGTACCATTGTTCATCAGTAATATTTAAATGTGACAGGCAGGGGAGACAAACAGCAGTGCCAAACAATGATATGGCAGCATGACTGCCAAGGACAATTTAATTAAAAGGATTTTAATTAAAAGGCTCCATGCAGCAAAGTCTTAAAGTAGCCATATCAGCCCTGCCCTGCTGTGTGCATTTGTGTCTACGCTCATGACAAAAAAGGCTTTTTTAGAACCTCACTGGGTGCTTTATTCTGATTTATCTTTTTCCCCATGTATCCAGCAAGAGGTTTATTTTCCGTTTTTAAATTCCCTCTCTTACTTACCCTCGCACAGCGTCTCAAAAGTCTGTAATCATACTAATAAGATAGAAAATCTGTTATTTTTCTACACTTATTTTCCTTTGAACACACAAGTTGTAAGAAAGGCAAAGGGGACCAAAGTTCCTGGATTTCTGGTCTATGATAGAAGGTGCAGATTCAAATCCCACTTTAGTCCGGAAGTTTTTAGCCTTGTATTAGAAATTAAAGATGTTGAGATAATGACTATTTTTAGGCTGTAAAATTGTCAAATTCAATAGGACACCAGCACAAAGTATCAGCAAATAGCAGTTTCAAACCAAAGTCTGACAACTGCCATGTCCTGGTCAAACCCTGGTTGTTGTTTTTTGATGCTACAGTGTTTACAGGTCACACAAAAGGCAAAATCGATCAAGAACTTTGTAGATACTGTTTAAGAGGCATGTTCATTTTCTGGTACTGCATCATTCTTTTTCATTGTCTGTCTTTCACTGTTGGATTCTACCTCATTTTCTCATACAGTGGTCTGTACTTTAAGCCTAGAGGTATTAGTTAAAGTCCCACAGCTCACATTGTGTTTTCATTACCACTGTAACTATATCTATTAAATAACCCCCTCTCAGTCCTCATTTACTCCTCAGCCTCATCTCTCCTCTCAATGTTATAAAAGAAAAATACCATCACTAACCTGAAGACAAAAGCGAAATGTCTTTAAATGATGTTTGAAGTCACTAAGTGCTAACACCACAGATACATTATTTTGAAATAGTCTTGGCCATAAATTCCATCATTAACTTAATGAATAAATTGTCGAAACAGAGTGAGAAAAGAAAAAACATCACACTTGAATTTAGGAGATTTAGGGGAGAGTAAAGTCTTCCATTCAAATGTCTCTCTGTAAAAAGCAAGGAAGCATGTGGCCATGCCACGTGTTTTAGCCACTACTAAACTTTCAATTCTTGCAAATTCTGAACTGTAATTGTTAGGTAAATGCATAGTAATGACAGTTTGGTGAAAACCATGTGCGTTGTGTGTGTGTGTGTGTTTGTGTGTGTGTGAGGGGACTATGGGGGGAACTATGCAAGTGTGAAAATTATATTTATGTGTAAATACTGCATTTTGTTGGCTACAATAATTGAGTTCATTACAATCAACTGCATGATTTATGTGAATGAATGTAACTGTTGAAAACTAATCAAATAATTCAGTATGCACCCCAATAAGAAATACTAACAAAAAACAAAACAAAACTGTGGAGGATAACTTTACAAAATATTATGCAAATAAATAATCTGTCACCCAGTGAAATGCACCAAACAGAGTTGGAAAAGGAGTCATGTCTCTCATTGGCATTCAGCAGACATTTCTATCCTGACACAAACACAGGGAGATGTTGGAATACAAAATGGCTGAGTTGCCTGGCTGTGTGACTGGTTTTGTGATAGATTTACGTCCAGAGACAGACAATAAACTTTTGAACAGTTGAGGAACAGAGGGAATCTGGCCGTAAATCCCAATTTTGAAGAAGGCAATTACCACAGTTTCACAATGGAGAAGGACCAAGGGAAACCGTCAGAGAAAGAGGGAGCAACAGGGAGATGAGAGTGAAGCTAAGAAAGCTGTGTGAGTTCTGTTTTAAGATCTCAATCTTTTGTGCTTGAACAGGAGAGTCCTGAAATACACGCTGAGAAAACTCATTCCCACATCACTTTAGAGACCATCTAAATGATCTGAATGACAACTTTATATTGTCTCCTTTTCTATCACGGTTCAATCACCCTGCTGCTACCGTCAAAAAGAAATCATTATATGAAAGTCCATGTGAAATTAAAATATAAGCAACTTAGTTCTAATTTACTCTACAACAACAAGAAAACCATACAAGTACCAAGATGAATATTAAATAGAACAAGGGTTTTGTTTTAGTAAGCATTCTTCAGAGCAGCCTTTGTGTAATATACAGTAGGAGAAAACTTTCTGAGTGTATTGACTCACCATGATTTGATTATACTTATTATGGAGGGATAAGAAAAAAACCTTTTGTCTTTGCATTTTTAATTTTTTTCCAGACTGTGGGGTGGGGTGGTCGAGGAGAGTGAATGCCCCTTCCTGACTAACTGACTGACAAAAATAAATGAAATGCATGTGTAACAGCATTCTCTCCTAAAATGTTATGGAAATAAGCAATATCAAAGTTACATGGATGTCTTGGGACTTACAGTATCAGGGTTTGTGTTATTGGCAGAACTAGCCAGCCTGTTTTCATAATTGAATAGACATTTCCACTAAAATGGGAAACAGCTGCTGTTTCACTGCAGATCTGCTGCATAAGAGGCCTGTAAAAGCTCAGTTTGATTATTCAAAAATTAACTGACTGCACAGTATCCGTGGCATTTATGAAAAAGGGATGGTTTACTCTTGTTGGTCAAGTAAATCATTTCATTTATGTGTTAGAGGCAATACCTTCACAGAGAGTAAGGGTCATGTTGGCATAGATTACACTCAAGTTTCTGCAAGCTGATTCAAGGTCCATAAAAATGAAACTTGTCTATTTTGTTAAAAGGGATTAAAGAGTGATTTACAGTAGTACTTTGCTACATTTTATCTTCTGTTTGGATCTCCTACATTCATACTTAATGCAAATTAATGCTTTTATTTAGAAAATAATCTGACATAATCTTCTGAAGTTCAGGAACACAAATCATTAAAACCCTTTAACTTGTATTGGAAAACTAAGCCAAAGAAGTACTTGAATCAAGAAACAGAGAGAAACTTTTGATCACTTTAACGATGGGAGTGGAATTCTAAATGTGGGAGAGTTATTACTACTGCTGAGTTTCTGTTTTCAGTAAAGGAGTCCAGAAACTGTAGCTTAACTGCTAGTTTCATGGTTATTGTGGCATTTTAAATCTGATTTCTCTGGTAGATATAGTCAGAGCAACAAATTCTGAACAAAAACAAATGACCACTGCCGTCTTGTTGCATACTGGTAACTAAAAGAAAAAGAAGGCGAACTACAAATGGATGGCTTAATGAAAGCAATCGGTTCGCTTGTGTCATCTTAAACAGCTATTCAAAAATCTATTAGTTAAAACAACCCCCTGCTAATAAAGAAATATGTATTTTTTAACATTGCATTCTTTGTTCCTATCCTTCCACTGCTGCTCAACAGGGAAACACAAAGATAACTTGATATGTCTAACTAACATGACTAACTAAGAATGGTTACAACAAGCAAAGCCTGTTTCATGGTACATATGGGCACCTGTATATTGTAACATAGACTTCAACATCTGTGAACCTATTCTTTAAGCTGTTTTTTTTTTATACTCTTAAAAAAAAAACAACACCTTGCTGGAGTCCATGCGTGCGCGGGGAGTGTATGCGAGTGGTGGAATGTTGAAGGAGTGAGGAACCAGGTACTCTTCAGCATCCATCAGGTCCTCCAGCTCCTCCTCGTCTAGGAGGCTCTGGAAGAACTTGCTGTCATTGGGGCTGGGCAGCTTCATGCGGTCGTCACCCTGAGAAAAGTTGTTTGTGGATGTACAGCATGTGTGTATTCAGTAATTTGTATTAGTAATTGATGATGATAAAGAAATTATGAAGAAATAATAACTAATCCAAGCATAACAATACATTTTTTAATTGTGTCACATTTAAGGTAAAATGCCAGAAATATCAGAGCAACAAGTAGTTTACATATAAACAAGCGAAGTGGAGAATATGACTTGAAAAGAGAAATAAAAATAAAATAAAGATTTGTGTCATTATTAATTTGACTTCTGCTAATGATGTAGGCTCAGCTTTATTGTATTTGTTGACTAATTTAAGCCTAACACAACCACACAGTCAGTTTAAGGTATAACACACAGGCAATGAAATTAGTAATTAGTTTATTTTTTCGCAAAGGAATAAGAAAAGTAAAATGTAATTTGCAATGGATATTAAGGGCACCTACTAATTAGTAACACGCTGCATAAATTGGCAAAATATTAGAAAATGATACAAAAACAAGCACAAAGGAGAAGATTGGCTAGTTTTCACTTCAAAGCTTACTGATTTGGGTTTTAAGATAACAAATGTGATCAAATCCTAAAGGCATCTAATCCAGATCTTGTTGGTGTGTCATCAAGATTTACCTACCTGGATGACCAGGTATCTTTGGGGATCACGAGCCATCCGAGTAAACTCTGCAGCCAGCTCCTTGAACTTGGGCCGACTGTCTGCATCAATCATCCAGCCTGAAAAATGTATTTGTGTTATTGTCCGACAATGAATTTCCAAATACATATCTAGATATTGATATCGTGTGGATACTTGATATTGATTTTGCCAATAGGCATTGACTATAAATTCGACCCTATTAATGTAATGTACATTTTCCCACTGTATGTTTTTCTTGGCTGTAAGCAAAAGCCTCATCTACACGGATCAAATCAGTTTATTTCCTCATGCTCTGTGAACTTAACTGAACCTAAGTGGGAGGAAAGGTGCAATATGTCGGGTACAAGTCAGTGGTGATCAAGCAGAGCATTTCTGTATTCTTCATACTTTGGTGTCAAGGATTCTGCCTACGCACACCACGTCAAATATGTATATGCCTTTTTTCTTTACTGTGCTTTTTGCATAAAAACATTCATAATACTTTTTGCACTTTTTACACATTTTTCATTTGAAGTACATGTGCATGTGGCTGCAGTGTGAATGGCTGTCACTTAACATTAAAGGTATGTATGAGAGGGGACTGTGTTAAAGGCTACTACTACAAACTGAGGCAGCTTGACTCAACCACAATTGTATAGACCAATCAGAGTCTTATGAGGAACTAATGGCAGCTATGGCATGAGCTATGATGGCGGCTGCTAAAGAGGTTAGTGTAGATGCTGCTAGCATCAGTTCTATCAGACCTGGAATGTTTCTTCATCAAAAGAAGAACAGAGAAAGGCACTGAAGCCTTTCTCGATGGAAAACATGTTTTCGCTTTTTTCCCAATTGCCTTCTTTAAGAGTTTGACTGTTATATGTGTCTATGATTAGCTTGGCCTGCCAGTGCATTTTGTCATCCAACTTACATTCTGTATTGAAATTTCCCACTTCTAAAAGTCTCAAAAGATTTTTCATTTAAACCATTTCCATTGCATAAAACATTCTTATTTGTCCCATAATGAACAATTACAGAATTTTTTAGTTCTCTTTATTGTAATCAAGTTTTCCAATCTAAAGATAAATACTGTTTCATCACTAGAATGGCCATATGGAGTAATGTGCTCTTCTGCCAAGTTTTCGGTGAACACAAGGGTATGATGCCAAAGCAATCATGTGATCTGGCCCTGAGAAGAGCCCATCTAGGTATCCAGGGAAATAAGAGATAGAGATCGAAAGACGGAGAGACGTGGCACAAGTACAAGACAAGACAAGTAGACACATATACAGACACAAGAGATTTCATATGTAAAAAATATCATCTTTTATTTTGCTAGCTACTTTCATGCCAATAAACCCTGGAGTAGTGAAGTGAATATCAGGAGAAGCGTTTCTACCACATGTGTGCCGTGCAGCGTGTGTCTGTGCATTTGGGTGTATGAGTTCTGCATGTGTAGTGCAAAAAGAAAGGGAGATAGCCGGCAGGTGACAGTGACCTCTCCCTGCTGTGGTCTATGTGTCTGCTTGCCAGGTTGGCGCAGGTTCAGGGTGTCAGTAAGAGCCAAGGTTACAGTGAGGCCCAAAGGCTGCAACTTGGAGACTAGAGGACAAGGCCAGAGTGGAGCTGGCACCAAGTCTTTGTCCTGGCAGCAGTGGCCAGAGGTTACATCGCCACCTGTGACCCCAGTGCCTGATGGCATGACAACAGTGACCGACCAATAAGGGAAACATGTTGGTGGTGGCTTAAAAAAATGAACTTCTAATACATCTTCTACCATAACTCCTCCTGAACTTTGTTATTTTTGAAGGATTTCTTACTATTATTGCTATCAGAAAGATGTTTCTTTGGCATTCCTCTTGTAACAATATCAACTGAAAAGTGAAACTGAAAAATAACAGCTGGGCTGAATTTTATAATAGAAATATTTCGGCTTGAAAAATTTCCCCTTTGACACCACCTGGACCCTTTTGTACAAAACAGCCGTTGTGGCATTTTGAATATCACTCAGTAAAAGCGTAATTATTTTTGCCTGCTTCAACTAAAAAACAGTTTGCCCTCTCTACACCCTTTTCTACTGTTTGAAATACCGCGGATGGAGACAAAAACTGAAAATGTACAATATATTCCAATCCTAAACAATGGTAATTTTTGAGGCTGTGGTTTGTATTGGCCTTCCATTTGATTATATTACACTGTAAGGGCTTTCTGGTCTTTTGCCCACCCTAAGGCTCTACGTACATTTGACCATGACCATGTAGACATCAATGGTGCAGATGGGCGGCTGAGGAAGACGCTCTCCTTTCTCAAGCAGGTCTGGGATATCTCTGGTGGAAATCCCATCATATGGCTTCCCTCCAAAGGTCATTACCTCCCAAATGGTCACCCCTGAAAAGAAAAAGAGGGAATAGGGGAAGATAGACAAAAGAAAAAGATGACGTAAATGTAAGAGAACAAGAGAGCAGAAATCAGTAATGTAGAGCAGAATCATAAAATACATCCACAGAGAAAAGAACCAGCAAAGGAAACATATGTAGAATTAAGATGAGAGGAAATAAAGTAAAGAGAGTGAAGAAGAGCACAGGGTAGAGAAGATTAAAGCATTGAGAAGAGGAGTTTACACAGAAAGAGTAAAGAAGAGACAAGCAAAGAGATGTGATGGAGAAAGAAGTGAAATAGTTGAAAAGGAAAAACCGGAGATAGACCAGAACACGTAAAAAAAGTGGAAAAGTGGAGAGACAAAGAACAAAATAAGAAGAAACAGGAAAAGCAAAGATGTGAGGGAGCAGAAGAGATCAGAGAGGATGGGATGGAGAGACAGGAGAGAATACAAGTAGACGAGAAGAGGAAGCAACAAAACAAAGGGTCAAGAAGAAAGGAGAAGATAACAGAACACAAGTTAACAGAGGACAGAAGAACTAATCAGAGTCAGAGTCAGTCTGAACCTTCACTCTTCTTTAATCATGTTAGTGTTAATGAGCTAAGAAGTGGTAAGCAGGGTAAATGCACACTATAAGATGGAAGTATAATAGCCTGCGGTCATAGAGGACCACTAGGGACATGGACACACTAAACCATACTGATACTTTTAATCAAACACACATTATTCTCTTTGATATGACCCATCTTGCATATTTTTTTGAAAATCTTTTTTCAATGTCTTTTCATTCAGTCGTTAGACTTAAACTGGAAATTGTTATATTGCCATATTATGCAATATAGCAATACAAATCTTGATAGATTTAGAGATTGGTCTCTAGATTTAAATCTTGCTGACATGCTGATGGGTGTGAAGACTGATTTTAATATTAGAGGATTTAAACCACTTCACCACCCTTCTTTTATTTGTTAGCATTGCCACAGTGGCAAAAGCCTCCACTGCTACCTCGGTCTAACAAGCAATCTGGAGTTTGCTGTTCTCGCATTGCACAGGACCCCTTTCCCTGGACGATTGGCAGTGAACCATGTGATCTCAGTGAGAGCTCTCTTTTGTTCTGACCCCACTGTGGGGGGGATGAACTCCACACTAAAGTCAGGACAGCAGGGGCACTACCTATCTTCTGCCACAGGCTGAAAACTCACATTTTAAGACTAAAGTATATGTACGTACCCTATTTATTAAATTACATTTTCTTTAAAAAAAATAGAGTAGAGTCCATTCATTTATAGAAAACATTTATCACAAATTGGCATGGGGTGTGCACAGACTAGAACAGGAGGACTCTGCAGTGGGTGATTAAAACTACCCAGAAGATCATTGGTACTCAGCTACCCAGTATGAGCAAAGGTGCCTGTGCAGAACCCAAAGGACACTGATAGACAGTACCCACCCTCACCACAGCTTGTTCACCCTGCTGCCATCTGTGAAGAGGTACAGGAGCTTCCTCTGCCGTACCACCAGACTTAAAGATTTCTTCCCTTAGGCTGTGAGACTGTTAAATTCTTCCTCATCAATTCATCATACAAATTAGCATTTTTTTAATTTTAAATTTTTATGACTCATTAATCAATTTTTATTTTGTTTTTTAATAGTAGCATAAAGGGAACTGTATCTCAATTTCATTCTACAACCTTGTATTGTAAATGACAATAAAATAACCTTGAACCTGCTTTATGGACAATAGTTAAAATGAATATAAATAGGTATATAACTGAACAGATACATTAAAGAGACAATATAGTTACATTAATAATTAAAGGGACTCAAATGCACACACAGAATGATAAGATCAAATATTGACAATATATGAGTAAGACCTGACAGTGAGGGTAAACTGGACTTTGACTGTCTGAGTCTACTAAGAAAGAGGACCAATGAAGACTAAACTGGTGCCAGCCCATGCAGTGTTTCAAAAACACATACTTTCAAAAATCAATTTCATATTTCATGGGTAGCCAGTAAAGGTAGGATATCACAGGGGTGATTTGGTCTGTCTTTTTGTGAGGAAGCTCGCTGCTGCATTTTGAACTAGCTGCAGGTGAAAGAGGCATGACTGAGTTCTACATGAAGAGATAAAAGCATTGTAGTCGGTCTTCCCATCTCCAAAATAGAAAAAAAGCTTTTATTTTTGCAATGTGATAAAGCAAAAAAGAATTTCGCAAATCTTAAAGCTGGAAATAATTTGGTCTGTCTGATATATAACCCTCATGGTTTTGTCCACTTCAGACAAATTGCCTAAAAGAAAATTTTGAAGCTTACCGTAACTCCAAACGTCACTCTGATGCGTGAACTTCCTGTAATGAATACACTCCAGGGCCATCCATTTGATGGGCATCTGTCAGGTAAATGAATAGCACATCTGTTTTATATGCATGCAACATTTGCCATTAAAAAGAGTTGAAACTGATAAGGAAACTAACTACAAAAGTGTTGGGTTCAGACTAAACTAGGATCATCTTTTGGTGGGATCTTTTGGTGGGCATACACTGACTGTATAAACTGTGTTACAGACAAGAGTTGTATAACAGAATGAAGGAAAACAAGGTTTGGTGAAAGAGAAGACAAAGACATATATACACACACATGCACACACAAGCTCCAGCTGCATTGGAATAAGGTGGGGATGCGGCTTAACACTGTGATTAGATTTGAAGGCCAATTTTATTGATTACAGTGATGGAGGTTGAGTGGAGGGGGGTGTCGGAGGTTAGAGTGTGTCTGTCTTTCTCTCAGTGGAGGGGATAATACCAGAATACCAGTGATGACACAAACCATGATGGACACACTAGAAAAGGGGATGAGAGAGGATGAAATAGGCTTTCCTGAGAAGAGAGGGTTTTAAAACTAAATACAGAAGAGGAAAAGGATGAACAAAGATTTGAAGAGGCCAGAAGCTTGTGTACAGAGAGCTCCAAGGACATATTTGTTTACTACGTTTATAGGGTTTAGAGATCTTCATTCCCCAAAAGTAAATAAAACGGTCCAATAGAGCAGAATAGTATCTCACTGACTCCACTAAAACTGTCTTTTGTGATGGGCTAAGTTCCCCCCTGAGGATATAAAACCCTAATTAATATTAATGTCTATTGTTGTCTTTTGCACCATGTCAATAATGTTCAAAACAGTATTTCAATAATATTGTATCTCACTGAACCTTGGAAACCAAACACATCAAACAGCAGATAATAAAAGCAGATAATAAGGTCAGTCATGGCAGGCTCAACCGATAATATGGTACATACCAGTAGATTATAATATAGCATCTACCGACGTTTTGGGTGTGTTTGTTCATGCATGGTGGATTTTTGGAAATGCCATTAGGAGCACTACGAGAAGCGAAAAGACTTGATTCCTTTCACAGATGATCTGTCTCATGTTCTACTGTCAGGATAAAGTGGATTTCAGCAAATATGACAAAAAAGTAATTTTTAGTGCGGCTTTAATGTGTGTTTAAACAACAGTTGTAGTTTTATGGGGGGTTAGAGCTAGGCTATTTCTTGGCCTGGAGCAGTCACTTCCTGGAGTCTTGTCACTGTGAGGTTGCAAAGCAACAAGTGGAGACTCGACAAGTGTGTTCAGAAAGAAAGGAATGCAAATTTTTACTGTCACACACGCTACCTACAGACGTACGACCTGTAAGCTATCTAGCAACAGACGTCCTGATCATCTCTGTGGAAGTGTGTCTGTGTTTTTATTTAGCTTAGCCTCTGACTCACCATATCTCTGTAATCGTAATCTTTTTCCTTGTGTCTCTGTATGTTCATGAATAAGATTCAGAAAGCACTGGGAAAGTGGCTACTTGCGACTTTACATTGATGTTACACGTTACACAACACATTTGTGTTGCCTTCAAAACTCGCTCATGTTCTGTCTAAGAAGCAGTTATAGTGACATGGTCTGTAGCTTTATAATCACTGTATAGATGTGAGAGTAATATCGAGCTACTTATCTAATTCTCTGCAATCAGACATCAAAGAAGTATGAGTAGTAGTAGTAGCTTTAAGCAGCTACAAGAATCTTTCTTTTTGTGTTGATTTTGGAGGCCCCTGTGGACAAAAGCAGTGTTTTTTCCACTGCCTCGTTTTGTCTGATTTAGACGGGAATCTTCCCAAATCCGACCTGGTGGCAGCTGGTGGCATTAAGAATAACTTTATGGAAATATCCAGCCTTCTCACTGATGGTTTTGTTTATGTAGGTCAAAAACTGAGACTGTTTCAGAACCAGTTAAAAACTCCTTGTAGGACATTTAAAGAACTACTACTACTATTCTCCCCATAGTATTGCACAGTACAGTGTGAGGCTCAAAGATGTCAAACAAATTTGTTTACTTGTCGGATAGAGTAGATTTCATGTGTCACAGAGTGATGACTGGATTTACCTTTCCTCCATCAGCATTATATTCCTTCTCATTAACATCCAGCAGGCGAGCCAGACCAAAGTCGGTGATCTTGATGTGGTTGGGAGATTTGACGAGGACATTTCGGGCTGCCAAATCCCTGTGAACCAGCCTGCGCTCCTCCAAATACATCATCCCCTGCAACACACACAGACACACACACAGAACAATTATTTCCTGTCTAGGTCATTTATTATTATTTTTAGGTATTTTTTGGGGCTTTTTTATTGCATTTAATTGATAGAGACAGCCGAAGGCAGACAGGAAAGGGGGGCAGAAAGAGAGGGGATGGCACACAGCAAAGGGTAGCAGGTCGGACTCAAGGACTCAGCCTCGGTACATGGGTCGCCAGCTCTACCAACTGAGCTAACCGGGCGCCCAATCGAGGTCATTTATATACAATAGACGTAACTGTGTGCGCTAGTATGCAGTAACTGACATAAACACACGTGCAAGTATGATTCCTGTTCAACATCACCATCTGTCTTCATCATCATCATCACTATCATTACAACCACCATCAAGACCCCATTAGAATTTCTATAATTATTCGTGTCATCATCATTACCACCTCATTGTTATTTTTATGGCTATAATTCACATCAATCAACAACTAGACTGTGGAAAAGCCCTCTTTATTGCCACATGCTTGGCAATGCAATAGCAGCAGCATCCATAAGCATCAACCCAGAGGCAGGTTTTCAATTAAAGACAGGACCCATAGGAGTGAGGAATGTTGGAGTAAAACTTTTTATTTAATACATTTACTGAACAATTAAGAAGCTACCTCTCTGCTCTTTCTCCCTGTCCATACTTGAATTAATAATGATTATCTGCCATGAACAAAAGAAAATACATTTTTGTCCGACATTCATAAGTGTTCAGATTCAAGTGGCCATGTGATTTAACCACAACATGTATTTCTTTTTCCAGTAAAAAGTATTCATAACCCCTTTGAGGGTCAAACATGGACAGCTATTTTGTGTCAGCCTTTGAAAAAACTATATCAACCTGTTAGACAAACACAAACCCACACACACACTTACAGATGAATAAATTGGGTATGAGAATTAGCATCACAACCAGATAATCAGATAAAGAAGTTCAGTCTGACACAAAATGCCAATAATGTCCTCAAGCTACAAAAGAACAGCTCTGTATAGTTGTGTAAAAGCTTTTTCAGTAGCGCATCTACAGCCTACAGTGCCTATTGTGCATCCCTGCAAGAGTGGACCTGAAGAGAAAGAAAGATCGTATCTGAAGGGAAAGAAAGATGAGGAGGTGGGGGCACTATTTCAAATTGGACGAGCAATAACAGAAGCTACTTTGTTTGAAGTGGCTAGAGCACAGAAAAACAAGGCCTTATTTGAAACCAAAACAAATTGGATTTAGCTGGAATGGGCTGGAAAGAAAAGAGGAGTGGATATAAGAGGAGAGAGAAGGAGGGGTGGGGTTGAGTGGCGGCAGTCTAAGAGGTGAGATTACTTTGGTGAGGCTATAATCACACTGCCTCATTTGGATACCCCCCAGGAGAGAACATGTAGCTCAAGCACACACCTACAGACATGCAACTCACATGGGTGCATCTGTAAATGTGTGTGTGTGTGTCAATGTGTGTGTGAATGTGTCTGATGGAGGATGGAAAGAAGTTGACAGAAGAACTAATAAAATATCATCTATGTTAAGCTGGTTGTGAATTACAAAATACACATAAAGTGCAGACATTATATGACCTAAATGAAATAAAGCCATTGTCATACACACACACACCCTACACCACAAACCACAACCACACACTAAACACCTGCTCCTACCAATAATGCAATCCCAGGTCTCATATAAAACGTACCTGGCTACTGCTTGGTCAAAATGAAAAGTAGAGGGGTTGACAATCCATGGCTCTAAATTGTATCACTGTATAAATTTTTTCTGCCTAACTTTCTTTTCATATTCGATTTTGCGTCCACGTCACATGACTATTCAAGACTCACCCCGGCGTCGAGCACACAAAACTCGGCGGCAATTTCTCCATCATTTTTAGTGACAAAATCAATACTGTTCTGAGTTAGTATTCTGCATACCAAACTGCGCCCTTCTTTTGATTAAATCATATCTAGCGAGAAAATATGTTATTTTACTTTTCATAATATTCACTCAGCTGAATGTACACATAACCACTCGCTTCGCCTCGTTAAAAATAACCAAAATCCCCATTGAACAAAACATTTTAAAGTCTGACAGCCAAAAAGGTGTCTTGACATCCAATTAACGATATCATTAACAACTTTCCAATTTTCCAGGGAAACCTGGATTATATTTTTTTTTAAAAACTACAACTCCCATTGACCCCCCCTTCAGCTACTCTGTCGTTGACATCAGCAACCGTTGTCCGTTTCCTCGTTTATATGGTTGTGAAAAACATATTCTACCCTAAACATAATATAAAAATATCACACACTGTGTACATAATAAAACTTATACTGCATGTATAACTGATCCTAATGCTAAAGAAAAGAAACAATTGTATTGTTTAATGAAGATATTTGAACTAAAACAGGAAACCCAGCGCGCACACTGCTCTGCTCACTTGACGCAAAAGCGGCCGGTCCTCACCTCTCTCACCGCTCCCGCGCCAAACTTTGCTAACTTCGCTATCAAGAATAACTGAAAGGCCGTGATTCATTAAAAAGCGATAATTTCGAGAGTCAGTACTACTGTGTAGTGCGTTATAAAAAACACAAATTCTTTAAGACAGGATACTTCCTACCCCTCTCAACCACTATGTGGAATTGCAGCGTCCCTTCGAGCAACCAAAACGTTTCAGTTTTCAACATTATTCTGGCGAGATCCTAAAATCCTTCTAACACACGAGCAAGCGAGGTGGGCATTATGTACATTCACTGAGTGATATTATGAAACAATAAAACTAAATAATTTCTCGCTAGAAATTTAATCAAAACGCATTTCTTATGCCAGAAACTAACTCAAATATTGAATTTTTTCACTAAAATAGAGAAATGTTCCGCCATGTTTTTTGTATCTCACCGGCCGGGCCCGATCCTTTGAAAGTCATGTGACTTGGACGCCAAACACATCAAAAATAAAAGAAAGGCAGAAAAAATGTAAAACCAGTGAATACAATTTAAGGCCATTATTGTAAGACCCCTGCTACGTTTTATGCACTTATGGACCAACGTAGCCAGCAGGTAACGTTTTTTCATATGCCAGCACTGGGGTTGAAATATTATCCAACAAAGATGCGTCGGTGCTCAGAGATTCTGATTACTGACAGTAGGCCTCACACATTTGGCCCACGCCTCTCCGTGGCCCTCACTTCTCCATGTCATCAACTCACTCGCATACGATCTCAGCACCCGCGCCCACTTCACTCTGACTTCAAAGCGCATTCTGTCCTTGTCTGCTCTTCTCCTCGACACTCTCTCGCTATTCCTTTAACTCTCACGCTCCTCCTCCAACCACACACAAACAAGTACTGGTGTACTGCAGTACGTGCAACGTCTCTTCTTAAACACCTCCCATCCTCTCAGCACGCACGATCGCCAGCACGCACGCACCCCGCCCGAACGCCTCAAAACTACAACAAAACTTTAATGTAAGGCCAGTAGCATTACTTTTTTTTAACAAAAAACTCTACATTCTCCTAACTCATGCTCACACCTGTAAGGCCGTCTCACTCTATCAAGCTCCGCAAAATCAGGCTCCATGCGCACAACCTGTTAGCTGACTGAACTACCATTCCTTTCATTTCAACTGATTATTCAGCTCCTCCGCACAACCTCATGTTTGAGATGACTGCATGGATGGATAAGACACTGTTAAAATATGTACAAGATGGTGAGTGTCAGAGATTTGTATGATTTACTGACAGTAAGGATACATTCTGGACAGTTTGTTAGTCTCATTTCAGATGACATTATAGATGTCACAATCAATTGAATTAAAGGTTTGTGCTTGTTTGATTTTGATTTGCATGTCTGTTTAAGTTAGTTAAACCAACGACCAAACAGTTGCGTATGACAGGATGTTTTTTACATCATTTAAGAGAGACTGCAGCTGCTAGACACCATAAGAGATCTAAAACACTAAAGTCCCACCTAATGATTCATGGAATCAGGAATCTGCGAAAGTGTACAGCACTCTCTCACTGATGACGGTTCATGAAGGCGTAGCCCAGTAAAAACATAATTCCTTTTCTTTCTTCTTTTGCATTTTCTAAACTACTACACTGTAGCCTTGTAGGGTTATATGCAGATCAACAATCAGCCACGAAGGCCAACCACAGCACCGCAGAAGCGACCCCCACCGGTTCCAATGAGCCAAATGTTAGCTCAGCTGCTAACCATAGTTTGCCAACTTGGCATTTGTTACTAGATTCTATGAACTCCTGGCAGCTTAAGTGGACTAATAAAAAATATTGGAAGCATTTTTCCAAACTATAACACAACAGTGGAGTTGTGTATGATTGCCAAAATTACCTTGATATAAATGTACACGTAATGACTTGTACATCTTCTCCTACTTACATGTTAAATCACAAAAAAGATCTGATCCACATCTACCATCATTATAACCATGTTATTATCAGACACAATCTAAATGTATGAATAAGTTGATGAATGCTGATGTGTACAGGCTTGCTTAAGCAGCTAATACTAATAATTTCTCAACATTCGCCGGTAACTTGACTGTTGCTTTTGATGCAGTGTGACCTCGATGTTCAAGAGTCAACAGGGAGGTTACGGAAAAAGGTGACACTGAAGAAAGTGAAAGCTGACGCTGTAGAAAAAGAAGGAGGATGCTCAGCATCAAAACAGCAGTGGGTCTGATGATGTGTGACTTTCATCTCTCTCTCCTCGTGACTCTTCTTCTCTCCAGTCGTTTCTGCTCAGCTCTTGCAAGCATGTAGTTTGTAGCCTTGAGTAACACAGAACAGGCTGGAATTGAAAAGACATAAAAGGACGACTTGGGATATGCGCTGAGGTACTGCCATGGTGGAGACCATCACGAAACCCACCCACGCGCGAAGGGTCGGCCACTAGACGGACGTTGCTCCAGACTTCCAAAGCCACACCGTCCTCTGTGTGCATGTATGTCATGATATACCCAGCCTGCCCAGC